TACTCTATGATCATAACTCCCAATCTTATTAAATTACATCAATTAAGTGTTTATACTATAGTATAGCTATTCTTAAGATTATTAAATAAATAAATCAATTATTATAATAATATTAGATTATCAAGTGAATGATGTTTTAATATACTATAGGAATTAATATTTATGTAATAATGCAACTCTAATTAGATTATAATAGTACTTTAATAGGTTATAGTGCCAAAGATACACATACCAAGATAGAAAATAGTTCACACTTCTCTAATTCTACCTTAAGTGGTCCCCACAAAACTTAGGTATTCTAAGGAGTGAAAATTTGATGTTCTTCTAATGGAAACATTTCATAAAGAAGAAAATTAGCGGTTTGGAAAGCTTCTTTTCGTGCATTAACACTTTTGACAAGTGAGCTCCTCTTGATACATCCAACAAATGTGCCAAAGATACACATACCAAGATAGAAAATAGTTCACACTTCTCTAATTCTACCTTAAGTGGTCCCCATAAAACTTTTAGGTATTCTAAGGAGTGAAAATTTGATGTTCTTCTAATGGAAACATTTCATAAAGAAGAAAATCAGCAGTTTGGAAAGCTTCTTTTCGTGCATTAACACTTTTGACAAGTGAGCTCCTCTTGATACATCCAACAAATTATCACAAACCCCTCCAACGTCCATTTGTTTAATTTCACTTCGTGTATAATCTCCTTCCCAGGTCCCCCCTCGATCTCCCACTCTTCACATAACAAATACTAGGTCAAATCAATCATACTCTCTTTAAAAGCACGAGTTCGGGTTTGGAAAGCTTCTTTTCGTGCATTAACACTTTTGACAAGTGAGCTCCTCTTGATACATCCAACAAATTATCACAAACCCCTCCAACGTCCATCTGTTTAATTTCACTTCATGTATAATCTCCTTCCCAGGTCCCCCCTCTCCCACTCTTCACATAACAAATACTAGGTCAAATCAACTATACTCACTTTAAAAGCACGAGTTCGGGAAAATCTTTTGATAGATAAAAAAACCATTAAAATTCAAATTAATTCATTAAGTAAGAGTAAGTTGATAAATTAATGAATTCTTATTGGATATACATAGTATGAAGATAATGATATAGTTTAAATTAAAATGTACACCTAAATGAATTTATTAAATGCTAAATTTATAAATATATACAAGATGAATGAAGATGAATGGCGTATATGCAAAAACCAAACAAATTAGTGAGTCAATTAATGTCCGCTGCATAGGTCGAACCCCAAAACAACGCAGACCTACAAATGTACATAATGTGGACGAAGTATTTGCAAAATCTACCAAACAAATTAAAGAGACAAAATCATTTTGAAAATTATAAAAAAGGGAAATTAAAATAAACTGTTGTGATATGAGGACACAATGTGACGATCTCTCGCCAACTAAAATTCAAGTAGTTCACGACACTACATAATTAGTTTCAAAGTTTAATTATACTATTATTATTCAAACAAATTAGTGAGTCAATTAATGTCCGCTGCATAGGTCGAACCCCAAAACAACGCAGACCTACAAATGTACATAATATGGACGGAGTATTTACAAAATCTACCAAACAAATTAAAGAGACAAAATCATTTTAAAAATTATAAAAAAGGGAAATTAAAATAAACTGTTGTGATATGAGGACACAACGTGACGATCTCTCACCAACTAAAATTCAAGTAGTTCACGACACTACATAATTAGTTTCAAAGTTTAATTATACTATTATTATTTAAATAGAACTCTATTTACAATTATTTTTCTCTCACATGCAACATCACATACCAATGTTTATATGCCAAGAAACTGCAATAATTTTCGTAGCACTTTTATCCCCTTCTACATGTTTTTGTCTTTCTTATTTTCTTCTTATTAGATTAGATTAGATTATTTTAAAGCAATTAATTATATTGTATATTTGATTTTTTTATATCAAGAAATATCAAAAAAATTTACAGCACTTTCATCTATTTTCTTCTTATTAGATTAGATTAGATTATTTTAAAGCAATTAATTATATTGTATGTTTGATTTTTTTCATATAAGAAATTACAATAATTTTCATAGCACTTTTATCTCCTTCAACATATATGTGATTTTGTTATTTTCTTCTTTAGTTTCAAAGTTTAATTATACTATTATTATTTAAATAGAACTCTATTTACAATTATTTTTCTCTCACAGCAACATCACATACCAATGTTTATATGTCAAGAAACTACAATAATTTTCGTAGCACTTTTATCTCCTTCTACATGTTTTTGTCTTTGTTATTTTCTTCTTATTAGATTAGATTATATTATTTTAAAGCAATTAATTATATTGTATATTTGATTTTTTTTATATCAAGAAATATCAAAAAAATTTACAGCACTTTCATCTATTTTCTTCTTATTAGATTAGATTAGATTATTTTAAAGCAATTAATTATATTGTATGTTTGATTTTTTTCAGATTAGAAATTACAATAATTTTCATAGCACTTTTATCTCCTTCAATATATATGTGATTTTGTTATTTTCTTCTTATTAGATTAGATTAGATTAGATTTTTAAAAATTATGAATTATGAAATTGCAACAATTTTCACATCATTTTCATCTATTTTCTTCGTATTAGATTAGATTATTTTAAAGCAATTACTTATATTGTATATTTTATTAGATCACAAAGTTTAATTATACTATTATCTATGCCTTTAAATAGATACTGTTTGTATAAAAATCAAAGAGAATCTCACACATATCTTAAATCTCGATACCAATTGTAATATTTACACATGGGTGTTGGTTAAAATATATTTCATGTATGGGCTTAACTTATATAATCCTACTTTAACCGGATTAGATAATTTAATTTTTTTAATACCCAAACACTTCCACAAAATCAAAAGAGAGTAGCAATGCTATATATATAGGGAAAAGTGAATCTAAGGTGACACCCTAGGCTCCCACCTAAGGACGCAGCCTAGAATCACATCATTTCCTAAATTTTTTTTTGCGATCTGCTCCGTTAAACTTGATCTACACGTTCTTAAACCCAAACACACCAATTTTGGGGTAAACCCATCGTGTTTTGACCATTTGTTGAGCCGTGCAAAAAGTTCTATTCATTCGAAACCGTTAAAATTACAACGAGTGGATAAATGGTCAAAACACGACGGGTTCACCCTAAAATTGGTGTGTTTGGGTTTAAGAACATGTAGATCAAGTTCAACGGAGCGGATCGTAAAAAAAAAGGAAATGATGTGATTTTAGGCCGCGTCCTTAGGTGGGAGCCTAGGGTGTCACCTTAGATTCTTGAGCATCCAACAAAAAAATAATGTACTAAGCATTGTAGTTAGTTAATAATGAGATCCTATCATTATAAACAAACTAAATAAAGATTAATAATTTTTAAGAATGTACTATGTTACCCTATCTTCCCTTGCAAACTTGTTAGTTATTTATTCCTGGCCCGAAGATATTTTCAAAATTAGTCATCTATTTCATAAAATATTTAAAAATATTTAAATAAAATTTATGAAAAATGCAACAAACCATGTTTATAGATTTTAATTCAAAATGAATCTGACTTATTTTATAGTAAGAAAATAAACAAAATAATAATAATTTTGATATTTAACCACGTGCATTACACGTGCACAAGAACTAGTAATTATATAAAATGCCCAGATGAACATGTGTACCAAATAGACTGGCTGAGATCGGGTCGGGAATAGATGCATAAGGTAGATCACCCGGATGTATTCTCTTGAAAATGATAGCTATCAATTTAATTTAATCATTTTTCTAACTTCTAGGATTTATGACCATTCCTATCAACATGCATATGTTTCTTTTGATTTGAAGAAAATCGGCTATAGGTACAATATATTACTAAAAAGCGTTATTACACATTCTATTTGTTCTTTGTTGATTTGTAGCATTTTTATAATCCTTACTATTATTCCACTCGTGTCAAACTTGTTTTCCAATAAATTGTTACAAACGACTACAAAATTTTGTATTGTGCTAAAATTTTCATTTAAGATTTTTATATTGAATTATAGAGATATTTAAGTTTGTGATAGTTAAAAAATACGCTTTTATATCTTAATTCTAAACCCTTTATGGTAACAATTTCCCAAACATAACACAAGTATTGAAGGTGTTAAAAACAAATTCAGCCAGACAGGTTATTAAATTTTTAACTCCATATTGTTTACTAGATCTTTATCCCTAGGGGCTAGGGACTCCAGCAAAATGAATTAATTCCAATATGAAAAATGATTTAAGGACCCAAAATATGGGATCAATGGAGAGGACATGTGATGTGTCCCCTCCCTATTGCATAATGAGTTGCCATTGCCAACTCATTATGCAATAGGAAAGGGACACCTCACCTGTCCCCTTCATTGGTCCCATATTTTGGGTCCCCGTAGCAGCACTCTTCCAATATAAACAAAACCCAACTCTAGACATGGCCATAATTTCTCCTAATTACGGCACGTGCCACTTTAATCAGTTTGTTAGGGCCGGCGGGGCGAGAACAGAGCATTGATTATCTGATTCACTTCGTCCGTGTAAAATCTTTATATGCGGGACTAATCTCCGTGCGGGATATTCAGCTGCGTTGCGTCGAGAGAAACGGTGGTCAGGCGTGCCACGTCATCAATCTTGTGCACAGGCAGGTCACTGTGTTCTGGAAATTAATGCCCCATATTCACCCTTTCCGTGACTTGTAGACCCCATTTGTGGGTGTGTTTTTGAGTTCGTCCGAAGGGGTAAAAGATTTGTATTTGCTGCAATTGTCATTGACGTACTCTGTTATAAAGCTCTTTCTGTGGGACCCACTGTCAGTGAATAGGTTAAGATGGGGGGTTTTCACTGGCGAGTAGCATTAGTACTTTTAATGAAGGTTAGCGTGCGGGATCCCGCATGGCTTCACAACCTCTAACATATATTCGAGGGCGAAAATAAAAAAGTGATCTTTCTCTATCTTCCCTGTTGATTTCTCCTTTGTGTTCTCTCTGCCCTTCCCTTTTTCAATCCATCAAAATTCAACGGCGTCTTCAAACCCTAATTCTCCCGCCGCAACCTAATGAAACCCTAATTAACTCCCTCCGACATGGAATCAGCTGGAGAAGCTCGAGCTCATGTAAGTCCGTCTGTTTCTCGACTTGAAATCGCGTTGGATTGGATCGGGATCTCGAAATTTCTCAATTCCCTTCGCGTTCTAGGATAAGTTTAGAATTATGGTCAAGTTTGTGATCTTTGGTTGAGTTGCTATTTTTTTTCGCGTTTCTTGAACATTGTGGTTTAATTTTGTGGCGTTTTGGGGTCGTATTTATGCCTCCTTTAAGAATCAAGTGTTATTTCTTGAGTATTAGTGGACTAATGTCCGATTTATTAAATTCTATCCATCTATAGTAGGATTTCAGTTGTCTTATTTAATGATTTTTCTTGAATTCGTGTTATTTTACTGGACTGTGATGCAAATTTTTTCTTTTGGTATGTTAACTTCTTTTGTTATGTTAATTTCCTTTTTAACTCACTGTTAGTTGAATAAAGGGATTTTGACACCTTGCACTTTGTTACTACTTTTCTTTATTATTCCTTAATTTCTACACAGTGTCGGATACAGACAAATTTTCTTAGGAGTGTAGATGACAAGTATCTATTTATCTAAATACTAAAACATAATATTATAGAACAAAATTCTTGACAAGCAGGCTAAAACTCAAATGGGGTGCAAACATTTTTAAATTATGAGGGCAAAATGAAAGTTTACTATGCCTCATAATGTAATTTCCATAATCTTAGTGGTGCAACTGCACCCCTAAGCTTATACATGGATCCACCTGCCCCTGTTTCAGCAGTTCTTAATGAGTTTGTCCTGTTTGCCGATAATCAGGTGAATTTAGGTGTCTGCTTGTCTTTTTTTTGGCCCCTTATGTTTCAGCTTCTACATTTCTATGGGATATATTCTTCTGTTTTACGTTGTCAAAAGAAATTTGAATGATTATGTTAGTTTCTTTAACCTCTTGCAATTGCACTATTTCCATGACCAAGAGAGCGGTTAATATGATTTTCATTTTGAAGATTGAAATTTTTTTTAACTGTGATTTTCTGGCATTGCTCTCTGATATTCAAACAGAGCTGATGAGATTTTGGCTTGTTTGTTCTTAATCTCCATTTAATTTCTTTAGAGTTGGAGATTTCTGTGTTTTCAAGAATAGTGATCTGTTCTGAGATTGAAAATTTTTTAACTGTGATTTTCTTGCATTGCTCTCTGATATTCAATCAGAGCTGATGAAATTTTGGCTTGTTTATTCTTAATCTCCATTTAATTTCTTTACAGTTGGAGATTTCTGTGTTTTCAAGAATAGTGATCTGTTCCAACATAGGATACTGCAATTAAGACGTTAAACTTTTTTCCTTGTGAAGATGACTCAGGACGGTCTGAGAAGTAATGGGTTCTCCTCAGGCTTGGCCCTTATATTGTCTGATGTTGACCAGAAGGGGAAAACTCAAAAGTCTCATTTCATTTCATGTTATGAGGACATTGGCCACCAAACACCAGAAAGAACTCTAGAATACATACTAGATCTCCCATACAAGTCAGTTCATCAATCTTCCCTGCAAATTGGTGTCAATTTTGTCCAGGATCTGTTGAAGAAATCTGTTCTTAGAATTAAGGGCACAGAATCAGATAATATAGGTAGAAGTGGTTTGTTAGGTACAGATGATAGTCGCCGATCAAACATTGTTGTTGTGGATAGTTCAAGTGTTTGTGGGGACATCAGAGTGGTGGGTGAACCATTGCTCGTTGAAAGCTTTGCAGTCTTTAGCAGTGCCAGGTTCAATGCTTGCCTGTGGAAGGGAAAGTGGATGTATGAAGTAACATTAGAAACTTCTGGAGTCCAGCAGCTTGGTTGGGCCACTATCTCTTGCCCCTTCACTGATAGAAAAGGTGTAGGAGATGCAGAGAATTCATATGCATTTGATGGAAGGAGAGTCAGTAAATGGAACATAGATCAACGAGCATATGGCCAGTCGTGGGCAGTGGGTGATGTTATTGGGTGTTGCATTGATTTAAACACCAACACAATTTCCTTCTATAGGAATGGGGTTTCTCTTGGTGTGGCTTTCAGTGGAATTCGTAAGATGGGCCCTGGGGTTGGGTATTACCCAGCAATCTCTCTCTCAGAAGGTGAGCGTTGTAATTTGAACTTTGGGTCTCACCCGTTTAGGTATCCCATTGTTGACTTCCTTCCGATTCAGGATCCTCCTTGCTGTATGTCCCACATTTCATATTTACTACAGTGCTTATCAAGGCTGTTGGAAGTACAATCTGTGGATAGATCTGATTTGGGATCGTTTCAGAAATTGAGAAGCCTGAAAAGGTTTGCACCACTTGAAGAACTATATTACCCCCTCTGTCGTGGGATTTGTGAAGAGTTATTTACCACAATTGAGGCAAACAGTAGGTGTATTGAATATATTGCTTGGGGAGTGGTTGTCCCTTTCTTGTTTGAAGTATTTGGTTTGCGGGCACCTCATGATTTCATGAATTTGGATCTGATAGTTAACTTGTTCCTACAATTTCCAGTATCCAATTTATTGTTTCAGCACGTCATTTTGGCTCTTTCATGTAACTGTAGAACAGCTCCACTTGTTTTGGTGGAGTGTCCATATTCAGGTTCATACCCATATCTTGCACTGGCGTGCCAAATGTTCCATCACAAAGAGATGATGGTTTTGTGGTGGAAGTCACGTTTTGAATACATAATGGAAGGATTTCTGTCATTGAAGAGTCCAAACAAGCAGGATCTGCAGATGCTGATGCCTTCTGTCTGGTGGCCTGGGTCATGTGAGGATATTGGCTCTGAAAGTAACATGATGTTGGTAACAACAACATTATCTGCAGCTGTTGATAAGGTACATTTAGTTCAGTACTTATCCTCTTATGATATGAGGTCAATTCTATTGTCTTTGCTTGTATGTTCAGTTTTCTAGAAGCTGCTAGATTTTAGATGATTGCTGGCGTTATCCATTTCTTCAAACTTTCAAACTTACATATTGCCACATCAATGTCTTTATGTCTGACTTGAAATATGTTTCTTTTAAAGATTTTCTTCCTTTCTTTGTTTTTATTTTTGGAGGTTTGGTGGATGAGGTGTGTGGAAGGGCCTCAACTTCGGTAACACTGTTAATTCCTGGTCTCTTTCTGATGATAAAAACATGCAGTCATATATCTTTTCTGATGAAACATGCATACATCTACCAGAGATAATTTTCTTGAGGTTCTATTTCGTGTTTTAACGAATCTTGTTTTTGAGAAGTTCATTTTATAAGATGCCAATAATATTAGTCAATGTTTTCAGTTTGTCTGCCAAAATTTCAGTCCGTTTGAAAAGCCTCTCTAATTGGATCTAGGAATTAAGATTCAAGCAAAGCTAGTCAGAGAGGCATGAGTTTGGGCTGCTGGAGCTCCCGTGTAAATCTGCAAGTCTCTTGTTGCTTATTACTGCTCCTTCCCTTTATTTTTTCACTTTCTCCCATTTATCTTCACAATTCCAGCAACCCTTCTACCTATTTCCAACAAAAAGAAGGGAAAAAAGAAACAAAATGCATGCTATTTCATTTGACGTCCAATCACTACTACTTTCTCTTTAGACTTTTAAACTGTTAATTTCCGCCTTTGGATTGCAAGTAGTGTGGTGTGTGGCTTTCTGTTAATGTTACACTAACATAATGCCATCCAGTTTTGCTTGAACTGATAATTACTTTTTGAGTACTGTTAGAAATAGTTCTGTATTATTTAACTAACATTACTATAAGGAAAACTAAACTTTTTTTTTTATCTCTGCTCGCATTCATGATTGGAGTATTTCTGTTAATTGGTAATGTTAGCACGACAAAATCTGGGGAAATTTTGTTATTTGGTTACATACTATTTGATCAGCATCACAGTTGATCTGTGCAGATTGAGGAGATGCATCGGGAGATTTGTCGTCTTGTTGTGCATTTCATACCTCCAGTAACTCCTCCTCAGTTGCCTGGCTCAGTGTTCAGGAATTTTCTGCAAACCTTTATATTGAAAGTCAGGGGTGCAGACCACAAGATGTCCTCATCTGGTCTTTCAAGCAACACAGCACTTGTTTCTTTGTACACAGTTATTCTCCATTTCCTTTCTGAAGGTTTTCCCATGGATGGTATCTCTGAATTGGGAGAAGGTGCTGGGGAAAGTGCGGCGTCTGCTGTTGGTTTTCTTCATAGAGGTGGAAAGCGAAGCTTCCCTGTGGGATTGTTTCTTAATGGCGATCCACAACGCACTTGGATTTCTAGAATTGGAGGCTCAGTTAATCATCTCTGCAAATTCCACCCTATTGTTGATAAGGAATTGGAAGATGTGCAATGGGATGAAGGATGCATGGATGATAATGATGATGCAAAAGTAACTCATTCTACAGTGCAAAAGCCCTGTTGTTGTTCAGTTTCGGAGATGGATACCGTCAGGTCATCAAAAGCCAATGTTAGGTCGTCAAGTAGAAGCTTGAAGGGTCCTAGCAGTTCTATTTCGGAAAGATCGGCTAATGTTGCTGCAGAGTGTCCCACAAGGACTTTAAGTGAGGAGATTGAGGATAAGCCTAGTTCAAGTGACCGGTCAGAGGTTGATTTTGAATATTATTCATTGCACCATTTGGGAAATGCACCATTGACTAGTCAATTATCTTCTGACATACTAAGAAAGGAGGAGCTTCTCGACTTTATGTTGCTGTTGTATCACTTGGGTGTTGCCCCAAATTTCAGACAGGCAAGTCGGCTAACATTCTGTGCACTTCTTAGTTGATTATATAAGCAGATTAAGGCTGGTATAACTTTAATATGTATATTTCTTTCTTAGTTGATTATATAAGCAGATTAAGGCTGGTATAACTTTAATATGTATATGATAAGTATGAGCAAATACTGATACCATCAAATTGCGGCCAAAATTAGAGGCAGAAGCGAATTTCTCAGTACATGCAGATGCGGAACACATAACTCGATAGACATATGTACTTTAATTGGAGAGCAATATATATTTAAACCCTATTGTTGATATAGATAGGTGCTGCTCAATCTTCTTAGTGAACTTTTTTTTCTAGCTTTGAAATCATCAAGGTTGGTTTACACTTTAAATATCGGTCTTCGAAGTGTATTTCAACATCGCATAAGACTGGTAGTGAGGTCTTAAATTAGTTAGCTGACTTCTGTTGGCCCCGTGTCTTCAATTTATAACATCATATATTCTGAAGTTCACTATAATAACAACTGCTAATACTTTTGTCACTATTTGATAGGTTCCTTAGAGTTCTTCCTAAACTATCTACTTTAGTAAACTGACTTGTCATAGAAGCTCTACTTACAGTGGTCAAACATTTAGAAAATTATTAGAATGAATGACAGGTACTTGTTTGCAAGAAGTGTATACTCTGGTACTGACTTATCGTAGGGTCTCCTGCAATAGGACAAGCATTTGGAAAACCATTAGAATGAGTGACAGGAACTCTTCTACGAAATTTTGGTCAAGTTTGTTGTGAGATGAGCCCTGCGGTAGCTGTAATGATGTCTTGTTGTAAATGGTGACTGATCAACAGACATTGCTCAGGTCACCTATTTTTGTCATCTCTTTGATTAGCATATACTTTCTAGCTGAAATATTTATTTCATGCTTTGTTTTAGTAGGCAGAAGCTACCATCTAATAAGTTAACATCAGGGTGCAACTATTGGTTGCAAGTATGATGTGCTGATGTAAACCTTGAACTGAGATGAAGGTTTTATTTGTTTAAACATCCTATGCTGTTGCTGTTCTTTTTTTTTTCTAGATCTAATTTGTCGCATTGGAAGAAATATATTTCTACCCAATTACTGGACATGGACAAGTATTTAACTGTCAAGCTGTGGTTTTTGTTTACCTTTAATATTAGTAACAAAACATGCTTCCAAAATTATTGCATTCAAAGGAATCTGGCAGTGATTCTTTTGTTGTTTGGCAACTCTGGCTCATGTGAGGTGACTTAGGGTGGTGTAAATCAGCTCCCTTGGCACTAATAGGTCCTTGGCCATCTAATGGGTCCCTTGTCCTCAAGGCTGTTACTCTTGTCAGCTTTGGTGACTTGTTATTGAGTTGCTGTTACTCTGATGTCATCATAACTTACTTTTGTGCTGGAATTCCTACTATTCATTGTTTATCATCTGCTGTTTGCAGAGTATTCATAATGGTAATTGATTTATACTGCTATATGTTATCTCCAAATTAAAAATTCCAGAATTCTAAGAAGTGAATTGAGTTACTTTGCTGGATTACTTTACATGCTGACTATAGATAATACGACACTCACTTAAAGGGCGTTACTTTACAGTTTTTTCTTGGATATTTATTGGTTAGCTTATTTGCTTTCCTTCTGAGAAGCCTGCAGGTCCTTTTTTATGATCTCATAATATTAATGCATCATTATACAACTTCCAACTTCAAGGTGAACTCCTTTTGTGCAGGCATTTTACTACATGTCTCAGCAGTTGCAATCAATTTCTCACTTAGATGATACTGACAAACAAATAAGAGAAAAATCGTCATCTGAGCAGCTAAAGCGTCTAAAGGATGTCAGGAATGCTTATCGAGAGGAATTGGTTGATTGTGTTAGGCAATGCACTTGGTAAGGTTCCCATTATTCTATTTCATCCAATATTATTATAAGTCCTTCTGAAATTTAAGATCACATGTTCTATATCTCTTTTTAAGGTCTTATTCCCAATTTATTATATATATCTGTACACACACACACACACTGTACACACATATATAGATATATACGTATGTACGTATATATATGTTTATATATATNGATATCGAACCATATATAGATCAATATAAATATATCCATATTGGATTAATTCAAATTGCATTTATACCATTAACCTTACGAGGTCTTAATGCTTCATTACTATCTTATTTACGTGATGCAAGGTGCCTAAATTGTGCACAATCTTTAATGGGCATCATGTAAACTAGTTTGTGTAATGGACCGTTATACTTTAATGTATACCCGAACTTGAGTTTATCTCTGACAGATCCTAATATATTAGAAGCTATGAGCCTTAATATTAAAACTCATGGATATGAATTTTTACCGGGATCATAAATGATTGCAATTATATACGGCATCCATTATAAAGTGTTAAGCACATTAGCACCTAAAGCTAAAATGCATACGAAGCCCGAAAATAAGTTTTAGTTGAAACTAATCTACTTTCGTCCAATATTGCAGTAAACAAACAAATTAAATGGATCGAAGTTAACTTTCCAAATAGCTAGGTTCTATTCAACCTCAGCCAATAGTAAATCAAGAAATTGATCAAATTACCCATACGACTGATGGAGAATACGACTGATGGAGAAGTTGAAGTAATATTTAACCCTACTAGAACAATTAGATTGTCAGATGTTACAAGTTCATCTAGACGATCCATCTCTAGATCTGGTTCTTAAAGAATCAACGAGGTAAAAGGGATTAATATATCTCAAAACTGTATACCTCATCCAACCTATAAAGAGAAAGATAAACTTTCTCCCACAAGCTCTGAAATGAGCTTTCAAATGTAAAAATTATTTTATTAATTTTTCACCAAATAGTGAATTACGAGGATATCTTAATAAAGAATTCCAGTGTAAAAGTCACGAATTATTTAGAGAATGGTTCTTTAGGAGTTTCTCTAATAGAGAACAGCAAATGTTTAAATCAAATTATTATATAACTCTTAATAAAGAACAAAAGATAGAATTCTTCGTTCCTTAGTTCTTAAAAATTTATATTCAGAAGGAAGAAAAGAGAATTGGAGTACTTGAAGAACATTATAAACAATGAAAATCATGTATTGGTTTATTAATCAAATCTCTTTATCCTCCAACAGAACCACTAAAGCTAATTGGAATTTCAACTTCAACACTAGAAGCAACAACTTTTATAAAACCCACAGAATCCAGTGATGAGACTTTGAAAGAGCTTAATAAGCTAATTAAACAAAGTAATTATACAAATATTCATCGTCAAATAGTAGGCCAACAACTTACTAGAGATGAAGATATAGTTGAAAAACTTGTCCAGAAATTAAACAATATTGTTTCTTCTTTAACGGAGTTAAAGAAGTTAAAGGCTCCTGTTAAACATACGGAAAAAGCCACTATTAATTCACCTCTAGATATATCTGGATTCAGTACAAGTGATAAAGTGACTTCAGAAGTTATCGAAACTTTAACGAAAAAACTTGGTAAACTTTAACGAAAAAACTTGGTACCTTTAAATTACATACAATTGATGGTGATCAATCTACCTCGTCAGTTATTCATACTGATACTGAAACATCTGACGATGATAATATCTTAATAAAACAAAGTCAGATATTAGATGTAGAAAATCAAATTTCTACTGTAAATAAAAGTACAACACGACCTAAATAATTAGAGCGTTATTATTATAAACGGCCTACTCCTGCTGATGTATTATTTGAAGAAAACGATACATACATACATGCCAACTATAATGGTAGAAATATATATGAATGGAATATTGACGGTCTATCCGACAATCAAATATACTCCACTATGCATCGTATGTTGATGTATTCTACTATTTGTAGACAAAATGGTAATCCCGATAAGCTTATAGCTTCCTACATTACTTGTGGGTTTACTGGCATATTAAAGGGTTGGTGGGATAACTACCTCTCGCTCGAGTCCAGAGGCGAAATATTAAATTCTATAAAACAAGAAAATGGACAACTAAGTGAAGATGTTGTGTATACCTTAATACTAGCTATACCAAATAACTTATTGGTGCATATATAGACCAAGGTGAAAGAATTAGGATATTATTACAAAACTTTAGATGTTCTTCTTTGACCCATTTTAGATGGTATAAAGATACATTTCTAAGTAGGGTAATGACGCTGTATGATGCTAATAGCACTCATTGGAAGTCTTAAATTTGTTGACGGACTATCAAACCTATTTGCCGAAAGAGTTCGAAAGAAACTTAGGGGATCATGAGGGTTCATTCCCTATGACTCATTTTCATACGGAACTCTTATCAATACTTGCATAAAAGAAGGCTTAGCTTTATGTAATGATATAAAACTTAAAAACTAACTTAAGTCTCAAAGACTTACAAAAAGAAAAGAATTAGGTGAATTTTGTGAACAATTTGCCTTCGACCAACCTTATAAGTCTGATAAAAAGAAGCAAGTAAAAAGGAAAATCAGATGATAAAAGAAAACATTCTTTTAAAAAGAAAAAGAAAAAATTCTTTAAAAGAAAAGACAGATAATCATTATAGAAATTTTAAGAAAGATATCAGTAATGATCAACAGTGATACTGTGAAATCGGAAGATGAATACTATTCATATTCCTCATCTTCCTTGGTAGATGAAAAACATTGTCATTGTACAACTAATAACTGCCAAACTAAGGATAAACCAGACTATTGGAAAGCCATAATCAAAATGAATGGACTATCCTTGAACGTTATTTCTTCGAACCAAGAATTAATTTCAAAAATACTTTCTGAAGAAATATTTCTAGAATTAAAAAGAGATCTTCTCGATCTATGTATAGAAAAAATAAAGAGGTTAAAGAAAAACCTAATATTTATAACGTTTATCGTATGTCAGAAGTTATAAAAAGGAGACAGGGTAATCCATCTAAGGTATTATCCCTCTCAGATCTCAATAAAGAGATTCAAACCTTAAAATATGAAGTAAAACTTCAAAAACAAGAGAATCAATATATTCTCTCAAAACTTAGTATGGAAGAAGACCCTGAAGAAAAACATGCATCAATTGTCTCTTCCCAGAATAATTCGCCATGAATATCTGAAAGAGATCATGATGTTACAAAATTATCCCAAAAGGACGAATTTTTAAATATATTACAAGTAACATCTCAAAAATGGTACATTAAAATAACTCTAGCCATAGCAGAACAAGTTTTTATACCAGACCTAATAGGTCTGGTAGATAACGATGCAGATCTTAACCGCATTAATGCAGTTGTACCTTCAAAATATTTTGAAACTACTACCCAAACCCTTAGTAGTGCAAATGGCGACAAACTTGATGTTAAATTCAAACTACCTTTAACACATATTTGTGTACAAGATACATGTATCACAATTCCTTGCGTGCTTGTTAAAAACTTATCGCAACACGTCATATTGGGTACACCATTTCTACACCAAATCATGCCAATGCAGAAAATTGATTCATAAGGAATCAAAGCCAGTTATAGCGGCAAAGAAATTTTATTTGAATTTATAATTGATCCCCAAACTCGTTTATTAAACGAAGTTAAAAATGTTCTTCTTAAAGAAAAACAAAAACTTTCTTAAAGAAGTAGTTTTTGTTCAGATAGAAGAACAAATAAAAAAGAAAAATGAGTTAGTAACTCAAATAGAAAGTCGTTTTAATAAAACAGTCTGTAGTAATTTCCCGACCGCCTTCTGGGATAGAAAACAACACATTGTTTCCTTACCATATGCAGATAATTTCGACGGAAAAAACATTCCAACTAAATCTAGGTCATGCCAAATGAATCAAGAATATCTTGATCTCTGTATAAAGAAATAACATCTTTACTTGAGAAAAAACTTATTAGGAAATCATATTCCCCTTTGATCTGTACAACCTTTTTTGTTAATAATAGTCATGAACAAGAAAGAGGAGTTCCTCGTCTTGTTATAAACTATAAACAAGAAAGAGGATATTCTGATATTTTCTCAGAACTTTGATCAGCATGTTAAACATTTAGAAATATTTCGTAATTTAGAAATACGAAATGAGTTAGCAATATTAGCCCAAAAATGCAACTATTTCAAACCCAGGTTAGAATTTTGGGTCACAATATTCATAAAGGAACAATAATACCTATTGAACGAAGTATTAAATTTGCTTCTAAATTTTCAGACATAATTACTGACATCAAACAATTACAAAGATTTCTTGATGTCTTAAATTATGTGGCAGATTATTATCACAATTTTGCTCAAGACACTATCATTTTATATAGAAGATAGAAGAACAATTGGTAAAAAGCTGATTGATAATTCCAATAATTGAAATTATAAATTTCTCTGTTCAGGGTTTTGACTAGGGAAATTCCTGATTCGGGCTCATTGCCCAAGTCTCTGTGAAGTATAACCTCTTTAATGACACATTAACTGAAATTTGGAGGAACAATATGATTACCATTACTCAATAAATGTGTAATTTTCATACCCTTTTGGATGAGTATTGTTTTCATCCATGCTCTAGATTTAAGAGACAATGTAGGGTAGTACGTTGAATCTAGATACTTTTGTCTTAGTTTTTCAACATCTTTCATAAGAGGAATATCCTCTTGCTCTATATGTAGAACAGTTTCAGAAATGGTTTTAGTATACCATTTTACATCCCTTTTAACTATTGCAGAGAAGGGTTCAGGCATATTTTCTTTTGCAATTAGATCTTCTATGCCTTTAGAGGAAGATGACAAAAGGACACTAGTATTTTCCTTTTTTTAGATGATTCTTTAGGAGTTTGGATGAGTTGGAGTATAACTCTTCTCATTGTTGGTGTTGCTTCTTCCGCCTCTCCTTATCCTCCCTTTTGGGAGGAGTTAATCCGACGCATGGGTACCCTGTAAAAATTTGCATGTTAGAAAATCGGGTAAATGATTATCCTGTCCACGTATATAATTAGTTTTAAATTGATACATTTCCAGCTCTGCTTGCCATCTGACAAAAATCTGTTTAGAAACTAGATTTTTAACATCTTTTTTTATTACTGTTTTAGCAGAGCTACAATTTATTTTTAATAAAAATTGTTGATTGAGAATATCATCTCGAAATTTATAAAAGCATTTTATAATCGCTAACATTCTTTTTTAATGGTAGAGTAATTAAATTGGGCTTGATTCTATTTACTAGAGGCAAATCTAACTAGTTGTTCTTTGTTAGTATCAGGATCAATCTGTTTGAGGATTCCTCCATAACTAATGTTGGATGCATTAGTTTTAACAATTTTAAACCATTGAGTATTTGCTAAATGTGCACATGATAATCTTTTAACATTTAATTTAATCTTACGAACAACAACAGTGTGTTGATCTGCCCAGGGTGAAGCATTCTTTCTTAACCTGCTATATAAAATGACAGTGTCTTGAGCAAGATTGTGATAATAATCTGCTACATAATTTAAGGCAACAAGAAATCTTTGTAATTGTTTGGTGTCAGTAATTATGTCTGGAAAGTTAGAAACAAATTTAATACTTTGTTCAATAGGTATTATTATTCCTTTATGAATATTGTGACCCAAAAATCTAACCTGGGTTTGAAATAGTTTTATTTTTTGGGCTGATATTGCTAACCCATTTCGTATTTCTAAAATACGAAATATTTCTAAATGTTTAACATGCTGATCAAAGTTTTGAGAAAATATCAGAATATCATCTATATATATGATAAGATGAATTCAGTGTAAGGAATAGATATTTCATTCATAATATTTTAAAATTCTAATGGGGCGTTTTTGAGCCCAAAGGGCATTACCATCCATTCAAATATCTGAATGGAACCACAAATGCAGTTTTATACCGATCTTTTTCTTCTATTTGGATCTGGTAGTATCCTGATTTAAGATCGAATTTAGAAAAGATTTTTGTATCATTAATGCGATTTAATAAATCTATTTTGTTTGGAATAGGATACCTAATCCATTTTAAAACTATTTATAAAGGTTTATAGTTTATAACAAGACGAGGAACTCCTCTTTCTTGTTCATTACTATTATTAACATAAAAGCCTGTACAGCTCCAAGGGGAATATGATTTCCTTATAAGTTTTTTCTCAAGTAAAGAAGTTATTTCTTTTTTACAGAGATCAAGATATTCTTGATTCATTTGGCATGGCCTAGATTTAGTTGGAATGTTTTTTTCGTCGAAATTATCTTCATATGGTAAGGAAACAATGTGTTGTTTTCTATCCTAGAAGGCGTTTGGGAAATTACTACAGACTGTTTTATTAAAACGACTTTCTATTTGAGTTATTAATATATATGCATACATGTACATATATATATGTATATACATATATGCATATATATGTATGTATGTATGTATGTATGTATGTGTGTGTGTGTGTATATATATATATATATATATATATATATATATAGTGTGTGTATGATATATATATATATATATATATATATATATATATATATATATATATATATATATATATATATATATATATATATATATTATATATATAGAGAAGAGAGAGAGAGAGAGAGAGAGAGAGAGAGAGAGAGATGGATATGCTTGGTACCAAGCATAAGTTTTTATGCTTGGTAGTGATGTGACATATTCTCCTCCCCGCTCATTAAAATCGGGGTCCACATTCATACGGGTTGGGAAGTGGGTGGCAATTGGAATGAGTGGATGAGAATATGACATCACCTACCAGTATAAAATTTGTGCTTGGTACCAAGCATACCCATTTTTCTCATATATATTATATATATATATATATAATATATATATATAATATATATATATATTATATATATATATATATATAAAGCTTCTGAGAC